AGATGATGTATAAGGAGTGTCAGGATCTGGTGCCTAAGGGTGAGCTCAGTTGGAATGATAGGCGAAAATATAATTGCAAGGTATGTGTTGAACTCATTTAGTAATTTTTGTACATAGGTAATTAAATAAATAAAATAAAATATATGCTAAATTAACTACTGTATAAACTTAATATCCAGTTTCCCATATATCGTATATACAAGTACTTATATGATTGATTTATTATTTATTTTATTATTTAATTTGTAACTAATTTAATAGTGCAGTTATTTGACATATTACACCAAGTATATGAGCAATGTCCTTTTCTTATGTACATAATAGGTTCGCGAGTGTTATGATCGCAAGTTTGGGTCCAAGGATTACAATAAGACATGGGATGAGATCCGCAAGTTATCTGACGTTGAGATCGAAAAGAGACAAATGCAGAAATTTGTGAGTATTTTGTGTTTAAATGTGATTTTAATTTTATATTAAATTTATTATGATATTAATTTGCATTCATAGGAGTGTCTGGAAAAAGCGTTGTAAAGCAATAGACTATTTTTGAACCACTTTTTGTTTGTTTTGTGTGTATTATTAATTATATAATTTCATAATAAAGCCATTGAGAGTTGTACTGATGATATATATTATAAATAAAAGTTTACAAAAAATATATATAATTGTATATATTATATAAACTTTATTCAATGTTAAGTGTTTACATTACAGATTTTAGTTAACTCAATATAAGTGACAGTCATACCATGGATATACGGAAATCAAATCAGGAACTGATCAAGATTATTGATATCAATGACATTAACTATGATAGAAAAATGTTTTATTTATAGAATTATCAGGAAATTTTATATTTTATATTTTATTTTAGATATCTGTTTGATAATTATTTTTACAGCACTTACGGTATGGTATGTGCGTTAAAAACATTTAATAGATTTATGTTTTAATTATAATTATATTTATAGTTAATTTTGAGTTTTTTATATTCAGCCTAATACCTCAAATATTATAAATAATAATAGTTATAATAATATCAGCAACCCGTGAAAATAAATATAATGAGTATTTTACTAAATGTTTTGCCTGTGTGCTTTTTAATCAATAATACTGTGTTCCCATTTATTTTGTAAGTATACTTATTTTGTATTACATTATTGAGTAATTTTATTTTATACAATGTCTATTAAAAATGAATTCACTATTACATAGATGGATAATAGCCGTGTACAATGGTCAATGTTCCCATTTATTTTGTAAGTATATATTACATTATTGAGTAATTTTATTTTATACAATGTCTATTATAAATGAATTCACTATTACATAGATGGATAATAGCCGTGTACAATGGTCACGTACACCCTTGGTGGCCATACCTCAGTGATCTGGGTATATTACTCCCGGAGTCATTAATATTTTCGCTATATTTATCTGTAAGCGCGTTTATGTGCTTGATAATATCTGTAGCAAGGTGGAAACCTATTGCAAAGTACAACCAAACTAATAACGATAAAACACTGCATTCATTGAACCAAATGTCATTGTTCATTGGCATATTAATGGTGCTTGGCACATTAACCGCGGCTAATGTACCATCTAGACATCCCTATTATGCTATACATGTTCCCATTTATTTTGTAAGTATACATTATTTTGTATTACATTATTGAGTAATTTTATTTTATACAATGTCTATTAAAAATGAATTCACTATTACATAGATGGATAATAGCCGTGTACAATGGTCATGTACACCCTTGGTGGCCATACCTCAGTGATCTGGGTATATTACACCCGGAGTCATTAATATTTTCGCTATATTTATCTGTAAGCGCGTTTATGTGCTTGATAATATCTGTAGCAAGGTGGAAACCTATTGCAAAGTACAACCAAACTAATAACGATAAAACACTGCATTCATTGAACCAAATGTCATTGTTCATTGGCATATTAATGGTGCTTGGTACACTAACCGCAGCAAATGTACAATCTAGACATCCCTATTATGTTATACATTGCACTGGTGCTTTTATCATAATTTCAGGATTTATAACTGATATGTACCTACAAAGTCAAATTGCTTACATTATGAATTATGAGAGCACCGGGCGTTTACAAAAATATTTACATTACATATGTTTTATATCGTTCATTCTGGCATTATTATTTGCAACATTGTCATTTTATTTCTCCAGTGAATTGGTGCTAAATCACGAATTAAGGCAAATGTGGAACTGGAATGAACCTGGTTATTTGCCACATATTATATCCAGTATTATGGAGTGGGTTAGTATACTAACATTTGGTCCATATGTGTATTCATTGAGATATTTAAATAAACTGAAAATACAATAAACATTTTTTGAATAAAAAACTTTATTAAATCATAAATGTTTACATTATTACCTGATTTGAATATAGTTTTTACAAGTACTGCAGTAAATCAAACATGAAGTACTGTACAGTACTATACCTATACAGTAGTTGTATTCAAAAAAAACATTTATTTACTTAAAAGCAGATATGAATATACTAAGAAAATCATTTTGATCATTATAATATCATATATCATATAATATTTTGATTTAACATTACATTTGCCTTAAGCCTCAAATGTATCAGTATTTTAGGATTCAGTATTCAATGAAAATGTTATTTTAATAGTTTTAATTACTGTTAAATCTAGAATTAATAACAAATATAAATTAAATTTATTATTAATTATAATTTATAAGCAATACAATTAATTTAGTTTATGATACTGGAATTTATTTTAAAATGATTAGTTATAAATACAAACATTTGAAAACTTGTGAAAATACTTTCAACCATAATATGGTTGTACGATACAGTATTAATAATAGTATTATGTTAGATTTTTCATAATTAGTATATAATTAACACCCGCTATATAGACATACTGATAGAACTCGTAGTAATTCATTGGAAACAAATCATAGCAATAAAAACCAATTGGATTTCCGTTCAATAGTTCAATGAATTTCATAATTTTTAACCGCAAATGTGTCGGTGTATTAGGATTTCGGATCAAAAATGAATGCAACATTGAACTGGGCTTATGAGCCGCGTGTGAGATCCAGGTGCTCATCGCATTCAGTAAGATAATAACTAACAATACAACTATAATAAATATAGCCATAAATAAGCTGATGTACCTATTAGTATCTCTATGGTGTATGACATAGAAACCTATTTCCAGCCCCGGGGTCATGATATAATACAATACAAACGTCATGCTCCGGAAAAAAATATTGAACTCGTGCGTAAGCTTAACTAAATATGCATGCTCATTAATTGCGTGTATGAGTAGGTATGTATTAATCCGGGACAGACGTATTTTATTATAGACTTCATTGAATTTAAGTTTTAGATACAACGAGCACCCGTACCAAATGGACACACCTATCCATAATACTCCAAACGATTGATATAAACTGAATTCAAATACCATACCAGTTACCAAAACGTTGATAATTTTGAATTTAGAATTGTCATCAAGGTAGACAATAATAGTAACCACAATATAAAGTGTGGACATAAATATGAGTGATATGATAATGGATTCGTTCATAAAATATTTGGTGAATATATTGACACGTCTTGTCAGTCGCCGCATATTATAGCCATTTAACGGGTATTTGATTTGTTTTCGCCGTAAACGCGACGCGAATGATAGTATATGTAAGGTATGGGTCCAGTCCTGGTATGAGACGACACATCCGATGACAAAACAGCTCAAAATTTGCAGACTAATACTCGTGTCGATTAGCCTACTGTTCCCTATGCTATGGAAAGGGTCACTCATTATGTCACGAATCCATGGCTTTAAGTGTTAGTTAATTTTCATTAATATTTTTAAAATAATTAAATTGCTTATTAAAACACTAATACCTTGTTAATGAATGCTGATACGGCAAATCTAATACTGGTCAGCAAGCATGATAACCTTGCTAATGCGACAAGTATATGCCTGTTTGTACTTCTGTAATCTATTATATGGTAATAATACAAAATGAAAATTTAAAAGATAATAAATACCCAGCTGAGTTTAATGCTGTTTCACCTGTCATGTATTCATCGCAATCATTGCAAGGGCTCACCAAATATAGTCTATTAATTCTGTTCATTTGTGTGATACCGGCGCCGATATCGTCACTAATATGACGGTATTTATTGAACCGATATTTAACAACATTGTAAACTGACTGTCGCCTCATTTTGAATATTTATTTATGTTTAATAAAATTTTTATTTTAAATAAAAAAAAAGTATTTATCTAAATTTGTATTATTATATATTTTATAAATTGCATTTATATTGATATGTATTTATTCTAAAAATAAATTTCTACATGTTGTATTTTTAAATATATTTAAATATCAAATGTCCTAAACTTAATACTTATCATGCAATATATTCATTAGTGTTATTGTCTATTCAAATGATTTATTGGAAATATTGAAGATATCTTATGATTTTAGATAATTAATCGATATTTTTATAGATTAAATGTTTTATATAACAAATGAATATAATATTATTTCAACATTAATTTATCCTATATAATATTGTACATATTTAAGATAACCTATTATAAAACACTGTCATATCATAATTTATAATATAACTTTTAGATAATAATTATAAATAAATTTTTATATGTATGCTGATTATAATTTATATTTTAAATTAAACTAGTAACTTTATGAAACATAAATTATGATAATGGTATTTATTATAAAACTTTTGTATAAACTACATTATATTTATAAAAATTTCATTCATTTTTACATTACATTTTAATAAATCAAATAAATACATTCATTATACAAATCTATAATAATTATAAAAGTAGTACAGTAGATATTGTGTTAACATGTTCATAATTAGTATATAATTAACGCCAGATATACACACGTATTGATAGAACTCGTAGTAATTCATTGGAAACAAGTCATAACAATAGAAACCGATAGGCTTTCCGTTCAATAGCTCAACAAATGTCATAATTTTTAACCGCAAATGTGTCGGTATATTAGGATTTCTGATCAAAAATGAATACAACATTGAACTGGGTTTATGAGCCGCATGTGAGACCCAAGTGCTCATCGCATTTAGCAAGATATTAACCAAGAATACAATTGTAATAATTATAGCTATGCATATGCTAGCGTATATATTAGTATTTCTATGGTGTATAGAATAGGCACCCATTTCCAGCCCCGGGGTTGCAAAATAATATATTACAAATGTAATGCACCGGAAAAAATTATTTAATTCATGGGTAAGCTTAACTAAATATGCATGCTCATTAATGGCGTGTATGAGTAGACGACTATTTATCCGGGCCAGTCGTATTGTGTTATAGACTTCATTAAATTTAAGTTTTAGGTACAGTGAACAGCCATACCAAATAGCCATACCTATCCATAATATACCAAATATTTGGTATAAACAAAATTCAAATACTACACCAGTCACTAATATGTTGGCAACTTTAAAATTAGAGTTGTCATCAAGGTAAACAATAATAGTAACCATAATGTATAACGTGGACACGAATATGAATGATATGATAATGAATTCATTCATAAAATATTTGGTGAATATATTGACACGTCTTGTCAGTCGCCGCATATTATAGGCATTTAACGGGTATTTAATTTGTTTTTGTCGTAATTGTGATGCAAATGACAATATATGTAAGGTATGGGTCCAGTCCTGGTATGAGACGACACACCCGACGGTAAACATAGTAAAAATAATGAAACAAATACTGTGTCCATAAGCCTACTGTTGCCCATACGATACCATGGATCGCATACTAGATACCGAATCCATTGCTAATTAATAGACAATAATTTTAATTTCATTTAAAACAATGTTTATTTCTTAAATTATCTAGTACCTTATTAATGATAGCGGGTAATGCAAATCTTATTACGGTAAGCAATAATGCCACTCTGGCCACTGTCACCAGGATAAGTCTCATTGGACTCCTATAATCTAGTTTATTTTATTAATGATATAATCATAAACATATTATATTTAATGAAAACATTTATTTTTTAATAAAATACATACCCGTGGTATACTCGTCGCAATCATTGCAAATGCCGACCAAATATAGTCTATTAATTTTGTCCATTTGTGTGATACCGGCGCCGATATCATGGCTTACATGTAGGTATCTCTTAACGCGGGTCCTATATCTTGTAAAAACTGAATTTAACTTCATTTTAATTAATTAAATAATATTTTTATAATAAACTTTATAATAATGTTTATGATAAAATAATAATGATATAACATTTGAATATATGATTGAGGTCATTTAAAACTAAATCTATGTATTAAATATCTAGCATACAATGCATGCAATCTAGATATTAGTATTGATTATTGATTTATATTTTGGAAACTTTCATTTGAATGTCATTTATTTTATTCACATTCAATAAAAATAATTTTAACTTAAATGCATTATACATATAATATTATTATTAACATTAATTAAAAATCGATATTACGGTTGGGTAATATGTAGTCAAATATACTATAAATCTCAATGACTTATAATGATTTAAATTATATAATATAACAACACAAAACACAAATAAAATATAATAAATATAAAATAAAGTATACATGACCTTATAGCAAATTATTTTTAATAGTCAAATTATAATGACATCAAATGATATTGTATATTTTATTTTACAAACATCTATAATAGGCAAATAATAAAATAAGAATGATAATTGATTTTAAGAGTAATTATATAATCTGAAACATACAGTATTTTATAGTAGCAATGTATTGCAACTTATAATATCTTATTCAATACATTCATAATAAGTATATAACTACAGCCACTGATACACACGTATTGATAGAACTCTATGTAATTCATTGGAAACAAGTCATAGCAATAGAAACCAATAGACGGACCGCTCAGGCGTTCAATGAGTGCCAGAACTTTGAGCCTTAAATGTATAGGAATTTGACGATTAGTTACACATATATGTATGACTGAATCGGACAAGGGCATTGTTTTAAAACATTAGTAATGCATTGGTTTGACCATTAGATATGCAATGCATTGAAATAAGCAAACATATTCAAGTTTATGCATTAGTTTATTAACACAAGTATTGTTATAATTTGTAAATATTTTATTAATTATAAAAATGGATCAAATGTTTTATAAGAAAGTGTTAATCAAATCGCAGAGAAATCCATTATAAAACCACAAAAAATTAAAGATATTAGACATAACTTACAATTTATAGATATTGATAAAAGGTCAGTTATTGATAACTATTTGAAAAGCTTTGAATAGTATATTATGTAATTATTTCATAACTAATTATTAATTAAAAATATTATCAAATAAATACTAAATGTTTAAATTAAATATGTTTGTGTATTTCAATGTACTGTATATCTAATGGTCAAACAAAAGCATTACTAATGTATTAAAACAATGCCCTTGTCCGATTCAGTCATACATATATAATTGTATATATTATATAAACTTTATTCAATGTTAAGTGTTTACATTACAGATTTTAGTTAACTCAATATAAGTGACAGTCATACCATGGATATACGGAAATCAAATCAGGAACTGATCAAATGTTAATAAACTAATGCATAAACTTGAATATGTTTGCTTATTTCAATGCATTGCATATCTAATGGTCAAACCAATGCATTACTAATGTTTTAAAACAATGCCCTTGTCCGATTCAGTCATACATATATTTTTTGTAAACTTTTATTTATAATATATATCATCAGTACAACTCTCAATGGCTTTATTATGAAATTATATAATTAATAATACACACAAAACAAACAAAAAGTGGTTCAAAAATAATCTATCGCTTTACAACGCTTTCTCCAGACACTCCTATGAATGCAAATTAATATCAATAAATTTAATATAAAATTAAAATCACATTTAAACACAAAATACTCACAAATTTCTGCATTTGTCTCTTTTCGATCTCAACGTCAGATAACTTGCGGATCTCATCCCATGTCTTATTGTAATCCGGGGACTGAAACTTGCGATCATAACACTCACGCATCTATTATGTACATAATAAAAGGACATTGTTCAAATACTTGGTCTAATATGTCAAACAACTACACTGTTAAATTAGTTACAAATTAAATAATAAAATAAATAATAAATCAATCAAATAAGTACTTGTATGTAAGATATATGGGAAACTGGATATTAAGTTTATACAGTAGTTAATTTAGCATATTTTTAGATTTATTCAATTTAATTACCTATGTACAAAAATTACTAAATGAGTTCAACACATACCTTGCAATTATATTTTCGCCTATCATTCCAACTGAGCTCACCCTTAGGCACCAGATCCTGACACTCCTTATACATCATCTAATTTAATTACCTATGTACAAAAATTACTAAATGTGTTCAACACATACCTTGCAATTATATTTTCGCCTATCATTCCAACTGAGCTCACCCTTAGGCACCAGATCCTGACACTCCTTATACATCATCTGTCAATCAAATCACAAAAAAATAATTAACACAAAAACTATTTTTTAACACAAAAACTGATTTTACATCAATTTTATAGTGAGGGTCAAATTTGTCGCAGTCCTCGATTTTGGCCACAATATCCGGGGTATAGTCGGTGTCGGAAAAAAAACTATTTTTTAACACAAAAACTGATTTTACATCAATTTTATAGTGAGGGTCAAATTTGTCGCAGTCCTCGATTTTGGCCACAATATCCGGGGTATAGTCGGTGTCGGAACACAACTTCTTGTCCACCGACTTCTTTATCTGCATAATAGGGCTGTTAGTCCGTTGCTGACGAGCACCGGGCGGTTGCTGTCCGTAGGCGCAGCCCACGACTAGTAGCGCTAGCGATAGGAGTAGTAAATTATGAGTTCCCATGACTTTGCGCGACGACTATTGTGTTCCGACTGACAGCTATTTGAATACAACTTTTGATTTTTATATTTAGTTTCGGTTTTGAAGTTCAAGTCCAGCATTGAATTGAAAAAATTTGTTTAAAAACTGTGACAATAAAAATGACAATGCACACATTTGTGTCAATACCATTGTGTCGATTATATAGAATTGTATGTCATTTTTCATTTGAAAGTAAAATTTTTTTAATGAAAAGAATTTCTATTTTTATGATTTATGTATAAAATGATGTATGTTTGGCATAAACAAGCTAATTATGCATATATTGTGCAAAAGGTGTTCATTGTTTGTGCGGTTTTTCCTAATGTTTATTCAGGTATAGAGTTATGCTATTAAATGTAATTATTATGATTTTGTTTGTTTAAAATTTTTTATGAATGTATTTCTGAGAAAGGTTTTTTTGGTGCAATATATTTCATACATTTTAAATAAATATTAATATTAGAGCAAAATAATATTCTAATGTAAATATATGATTGTATGATAAAAATTTAAAAATAAATTTTTTGGATATTGCCAATAGTTACTAATAAAAAATTATTTTACTAATGAATATTTTGACCCAAATCGTAGGTTAAATTAAAAGTACAGTAATTTCATAATCAATAAAATAATGTTTGTTGCATTTATTAACTGAAATAATATTGTTTTGTATTTTAAACAATGTAAAAATATTTATTTATTTCTCTGAATAAGTTTCTATTTATATTCCAATGAAATATGTGATGAAATAATGTGTTTTTTACATCAAAATAAAATTTCACAATAAATACTAATAATTACAATATAATATCCGGAGTTTGCGTTTATCATATAAAGCATGCGCTTATCAATTCACTTACTAAATATTTGTATTTATTATAATTTATTAAATTTAACTATAAATTAGAAAATCAGCAAACTAAATTATATAAAAATTATTATGACAATACACAATAAATATAACAGATATAAAATACAAATAAATAACAATTAAATAATGTATAATAGTTAGTTCTAAAAAATTAATTTATAAATATTAATTAAGTGTAATTAGTAATATTATGTGTAAATACTGATAACTATCAAAATAAATACACAAATATAGATCAAAATGAGTACAAAAAGTGCAGAAATGACCATGTAATTTAATAACTTATCTAAAATTAACTAGTATGTTAGTATACTATGTTAGTAAGATATGTAAAAGTATGTACATACTGTACTCCAGCTAAATATTACATAAATAACACATAATATACTGCAATCAGAGGGAAGGGATGTATGATATGTCGGATTCATTTAAATATATCAGTGATTAGTTTGTTTTGAATGAACTGCTAAATCGTTATATTTCCAATTATAAACAAATTACTAATTTACTAATTATCAGACATAACCTTGGATAATCAGCAAGTCTTATTATATGACTGTGAAAAGCCGTCACGATATTTTATAAATATTTTTATATAAAGCTGTATGTACTCCAAATTAAATTAATTAAATTTATTAAATGTTAATTATTTTATACAGAATAATAATTTTGAAATAAGATGCTAGATATTATTCTAAATTTTTGGACAATATCTATAACATTAATAGCATGGTATGCCTAACATAATTTTCAATAACATAAATTAATTACTTTTTAAATTTTTATTATAAAACTAAATATAGCCTATTAACCTACCGGTTCACCTACTGGTCCAGACATGGCGTCAAAGGACCCAACCGTATAGGAATTGAGGGATTCTTTATGAAAGTGACTGACTTTTACACAAAAAACTGGCAAAAATACGGCCGTATATTCGGTGCATACGATTTGTTTGGCAAACGGCTTATTGTGAACGAACCGGAACTCCTGCGAGATATACTGGTCAAGGACTTCCACATATTCCCCGATCACCTACATTTCAACCTGGGCAACACCAACCTGGCCAAGGCCTTGTTTTTTCTCAGTGGCAACGATGAAGACTGGAAACGGATCCGCACGATCACCAGTCCCTCATTTACGTCGGGAAAGTTGAGGGCAATGATGGGTAGTATCGGTGGTATTGCCGACCAGTTTGTCACAAATCTGGATGAATATGCCGCAAATGGTATGCTTTCAAAAAATATACAATATAATATAAGCTACTAGGTCATCTAGTGTCTCAAAATAACTTTTATATAATATTTTCGCTGCTATATAAACTATTTTCTTTGAGTTCAATTAAATAATTGCCTGCTCAAGGTACAGTTAATGAATAACTTGCATGATAATTTAGGAAAAACGGCTGATATGCGCAAATACATGGGTGCTTTTGCCATGGATGTGATCAGCGCCTGTGCCTATGGTATAAACGTGGAGTCCATTAATAACGCCAATCATCCCATTGTAGTGAACGCTAAGAAGATCCTATCGGTGGACACGAGTTTCAGTTTTATGCTGTCCATACTCTGTCCATCAATAGCCAGGTTCTTTAAACTGGAACCGTTTAATGTAAGTGCAATTAACTTTTTCAATAACCTAACGGAACAAATAGTTGCCGAAAGGAAGTCCGCAATGAGTACTGACTGTTAGTATAGATTAATATAATTTTTAAATAAAAGTTAATTAAAAGTTTTTTAATTTTATATTTATAGCTAATAAAAGGTCGGATTTCATACAACTTATGATTGATAACGAAAAGAATGACAAGAATTTCGATTTCGACTATAATAGCGATGAAGACATAAATAGACATGAATTGCAAGAATCGACGGATAATACTATGAAATCCTCGCAAACGCTAACGAGTGATGAGTTGACGGCTCAGGGAATACTGTTTTTCATCGCCGGCTACGACACGACCAGTGCCTC